CTAACATGGGAGTGGTGGCAAAAATACTGTGTATTTTTCACATATAGGCTTTATAACTTTTATGGTATTTATTATTATACACACATGCACATACAATATTTCTCAAAACAGTCGAATATACAGAAACATGCACTGACTCTTATTAGCTCAGTGATCTTGGGCCTTAGCAGTCTGAGCTCCAATTTCCTCATCTGTAAAATGGAGATTAGAACAATGTCCACTTTGGAGAGTTACAGGCACATAGTAAATGCTCAATAAATATAAGCTGATGATTAGTCCTGAAGAATAGAGAGGGTCTAGATCAGCAGTTCTCAACCACTTTGGGGGTCGAATGACCCTCTTACAGGGGTCACCTAAGACATAAAAGTAGCAAAATTACAGTTATGAAGTAGCAACAAAAATAATTTTATGGTTGGGGGTCACCACAACATGAGGAACTGTATTAAAGGGTCGCAGCATTAGGAAGGTTGAGAACCACTAGTCTAGACACAGGGAGATGAGGTAGGTAAGTGGACAGGGTTCTGAAGGAGGAGGAAACTACAAGAACAAAATCCTAGAAGCAGGAAGGCTGTTGGTGGTTTAGAGTGTTATCTTCTTTTTCTTAAGATTTTAAAATTGATTTTTAGAGAGAGAAGAAGGGAGAGGGAGAGAGAGAGAGAGAAACATCAATGTGAGAGTGAAACATTGATTGGCTGCCTCCTATATACCCTCTACCAGGGATTGAACCCACACCCTAGGTATGTGCCCTGACTGGGAATCAAACCAGCTACCTTACTCCGGGCAGGCTAGAATGTGATCATTTGCACAGTGTGTACATGTATGTGTGTACTAACAGGCTAAACAGAGTGGGTAAGGGCAGCTTCAATCATGCCTTCTGTCAGTACTTAGTGACTGCTTACTGTGTGCCAGGTACCATGAGAGGATGCCTGGCCAGGAGTGTAAATTGCATCTGGAGGTGGTAGGGAGGCAAGGAAAAGCTGTGAGCAGAAAAGGATAGTACTCTGAGCTTCAGTGAATCCTTTTGCTCCTAGAAGAGTAGCTGGGAACCCTGGGTGCCCACTCTTTCCTCCCCAGCCTCAAAAGTGGAGGGATGCAACCATTTCCCTTCAAAAGTTCTAAATGTGGGAATTCGTTCAGCTCACTCGGGTACTTGTCCACACTCAGAAGCACACCCATGGAACACAAGTCACCACCCCACCCTCACACCATGAGCAGATGGACTAAAAGCAAGCCAGCATTTGGCTTCCTGCCACCTGCCTCCTCTTCTTGAAATAAATCCTGTCCTGACCATCACCTCCTCATCATCAGGGGCATTAAGCACAATTCACAAAAACAAACCCAGATGCTTGGAGGTTGGGAATGGAGTACAGTTTAGAAAGCTTGGAGCCAACCATTTTGCAGATGGGAAACAGACCTCAAACAAAGAAAGTGACTTATCCAGGGCCAGGCAGTGATAGAACCATGATTGAAATCTGGATTTACTGATTATCAGACCATACTTTTTCATGTTGTACACACACACACACACACACACACACACACACATACAGATTTACTCTCAATTCAGACATCTCTGGGTTGAACAACAAAGCTTTTTGAGTAGGAGTTCAGAGGATATGGCCCTTTGTTAAAATATAAGCTTATCTATTGGGGGAGTTGGGGAGTATTTCTACTTTAGGTGGCTTTACCAATTCAATTTCTTCCCCTCTGTCTCAGTTTCTCCATCAGTAAAATGGGAAGAATATTACCTATATTAGGGGATTATAGTGAAGTTTAAATGAGTTATCAACACAGGTAAGGGCTTTTAATACTATCTACCACATAGAAATCCCAATAGTATCATCATTAATATTACTTGTTTAACTCTGTAAATCTAGTCGGGGGTAGGGGAAGGGCTCTGCATCTACAGTGATAGTGCCTTGTTTTAAATCAGATTCCAGGCTACCCACCAGGCTGACACAATTCTGCACTTTGAAGATGGGGGGTCCCAAGCCATCAGGGAGCCCGCCAGGGTTTGGTCCAAGGCCCTAACAGGAATAAAAAGGTGGCCTCTTGACCTCCAATCCTGGGGCCCATAAAATTGGGTAAGTGCTTACATCTGGGCAGGGACTGGATGGGCATGTGGTAGGTCCTGTGGGTGTGAGCTCATGTGCACATGTGAGTATGTTTGTACATGAATGCCTTCTTATGTATGCATAGATGCACATATCTATCCATGTATATACACAGAAGGGACACCTTACATCTGATCGGAAATGAGACTCTAGAATCACCCCCAGGACAGTGCTCACTGCCTCTTTTTATAGCTTCCAGTCCACTCCCAGTGGCCAGTGTCAGCAGACTGCTCTGCTGCTTTATAATTCTAACCAAGTAATTTGATCTCTCTCTGTTTTAGTGTGCCTCAGTTTCTCCATCTATAAAATAAGGAGTTTGGATGAACTGAGGTCTGAGGTTTCCTCCAGCCCTGATGATAAATCTCTGCAGTGGAGAGAGATGGGTCCCAGGAGTTTCAGGATGGGACTCCACTGGGCCCCAGCCCCCTACTTCCATGGGTACATCTGACTCTACAGAGACATTGAAGACTGGAATCTGCCCTAGCAGCTTGTACATGGGATTCAGCTAAGGTTGAGAGCAGATTCCAGATCATTTAGGGTATCAGAGTATATGCCAGGAACCCCGTTCCCTGGGTTTGAGGTACCAGAACCCTGTCCCCAGTAGTATGCTTTCTATACCAGGGTCGAGGGGCCAGGTGTAGACTTCTGTGCCAGCCACCTTCTTGAGTTTGTAACTACTGAACCTTTGATTAGCATCTACTCTTCCAAGCCCAGCACAGGCCAGGTCAGGGGAGAATATGGACAGAGATTCTGCCCTTGAGAAGCTAACCATCCTCTTGGGAAGACACATACACATAAACACACACAGTTAGTCAACATCACTTACTGTTTAGTGAGCAAATAAATTCAATCAAGATAGCTCTGGACACATGGGTAGGAACGGGGAAGGGATGAGAAGAATCTTGAAGACAGGGAAGATCTGAATTCAGAGAGGCCCGAAGAGGGCATTCCAGACAGGGGGAAGAGCTTGAGCAAATATGTGGTTGTAGAGAGTATTGTACAGACAATGAGGAGTTTGACCTTAGCACAAAGTGCATGTAGGAGAAGGGGTTGGGGGATGAAGCTGGAGAGAACTGGGGCTGGATCATAAAAGGTCATGAATGCTGTGTTAAGGAGTGGGGTAGTTTGAGAGCCACAGGTTTTAGAAGAGGCAAGTAGTGTGACAGGAAAAGCATGTTAGGGATTATTTACTTTAAGTCAGCAAGTAGGTCAAGAGAGGGTATGAGGTTAACAGGAAGTAGATGTGATGGGCAGAGATTCAGGGTTACACAGAATGAGGACACGTTGGGAACACCACTCCAAGGGCCAAAACACTGCTCTCTCCTCCCTGTGGAAACCTCTGGGTATTATTTCCTGGCTCCATCTCCTAGTTGCTAGGGCTGAGGAGTCCCTCTGGGGTTTCAGACTAGGCAGGGACAGAATTTTCTCACCAAAGCTTTGGCCTAGCTCCTCCCAGCTTCCTGCCCCCATTTGAAGCTAGATGGGCAGCTCTCAGACCCACTCCCACCAGCCCTGCTTTACTGAGAGAGGGCCCAGAACCTCTGCCCTTGGAGATTCTGAGGATGCCTATTTGTGGTCTTTCCCCAGGCATTTCCCAGGCCATTGGGAGACCTGGGGGCCTAGAGCATGGGATTGGCAGAATCCTGAGGGAGGAAAGTTTGAAAGACTCTCTAGAAGGAAACTTGAACATGTTAAGCTTACAGATAAGAAAACTGAGGCCCAGAGAGGTAACATGACTTGTTTAAGGTCACACAGCAAGTTTGGGGCAGTCAGGGCTGGGACCTGTGGCCTGGAGGAGGCTGAAGCACTCTGGGAGTTAGACAATTTGGCAAATGTAGAGTGGAAAGGGTCAAGGCCAGAAACTATGGGTTCAAATCCTGGCTCTGCTATTTACATTAGCTTTGTGACCTTGGGAAGTCACTTGGGCTGAGTCTGTTTTCTCAACTGGTAAATGGGTATAATACTCACCCTTGGGGGTTGTTGTGAAGATCTAAACATATATACCGTGCTATAGCACCTGGCCTGGTAAGTGTTCAATAAATGTCAGCTAATGGTCTGGCAGTGGCAACAGTAGGTACTCAATAAATGTTAAATGCATTATTGAATATGCTTCCACATACTAACAGTAAGATTTGTAAGCCTCACTTTCCCTGCATGTAAATCAAGACTAATAATTAATCCTTGTCTTGTCAATTTTCTGTCTAGTTCTGCTAGCAACAGATTAAATAAGGTGTGTAAACTTCCAATACAGAGTGGTCTCTAGGTCAGTGTTTACTCAGCCCCAAACAATTCCTCTCCAAGTCCTACTCTGTAAAATTTCCAGTCAACAAACCAGCTCCTCTACACTCCCAGGTGCTGCCCTGGAACCAGGAAAGGGGGAAGTCCCCCACCTCTCAAACCAGCCCAGCTGAGGAATAGTGGGGTGAGAAAGCAGAGAATGTGCAGGGGTGAAGAGGTGGGGAGGATGGAGGTGCATGGATGTGGTATGTGGAGTGAGGAATACAGATGGGGGGACTTGGATATAAGATGCAGGTGAAAGGATCTGAGGGGCAGAGGGAGGGGTGAGGACGCTGGGATATAAGGAGGTAGTGCAGGAATATGGGGATCCCGTAGTAAGGAGTTGGACCCTTCTCGCTGAGACATCTGTGGGTCACCCTGGGGTAGGGGACCAAAGCTCCCAGCAGTCGCCTCTCGGGGCGGTGTCCCGCAGCTCGGAGTTGGGCTCCTAGTTAGGAGTCACTAGCCAGCGAACCGTGGAGGAGGCGGGGAGGGGGGATCCGCAGTCTGGGATTGGTCACCGCTCCGCCCGCGGGTGACGCGAGGCGGGCGGGACCCTTTGTGACGTCACAATCAGCTGTTTGAACGTTCCAATTTGTGCTGCGAGCCCAGCAGCAGCGGCTGCACACACTCAAAGCCCCGCGGGCGAGCTCAGCAGGCACAAGCGTCCCACGCGTAGCCCCACCGCCTCCCTGACCAGTCCCCGCGATGCCGTCCGGCCTCTGATCCGCCGCCGATCCCCGGTCGTTCGGTGGAACAACTACCTCAGCCCCACCGGCCGGCACACCGCTCGGGTACCTAGGTGAGTTCCGACCAGCTTTAGCCAGGGGGCTCCCTGCGCCCCAAAGCTTCTGGGTCTTTGTCTGTCTCCGCCGGCAGCCGCCGGGGCCTCATTCCGGTCTCCCGATTGGCTGCCGCATGCCCGGTAGACCATGACGTTTCTCTATTTGCATTTGACATTGAGACGTCACCAAGGCCGGCACCGCCCCCCCCACCCCCGCTCGGGTCGCGTGTCCTCCCGTAACCTGGTGGGCGCTCGGTTGGGGCTGGGCCCCTGGGTGAGGGACGCTGAAAAGCAGTGGGGAACGGAGGGGCCTTGGCAGTTTCCTGGGTTAATTCAGGGGCTGGGGTCAGGCCTCTGATCCCCTACTTTCCTCTTGCGACTTGAGAGGGGTTCGGATAGTGCTGCTGGGTCTAGCTGCTGCTGGTGGTGGTGGTGGTGGGGGGGGGGGGTGTCGTCAGAAGTTGAAGGGAGGCCAGGAGCTCCAACTCCATCCAGGTCGTTGGGGCAGCGCCAGATGGTGGCGGAATCCCCTCCCTACACCCCTGGGCTAACAAAACATCTTCCTAATCTCTGACGAGTGTGCGGCGCTTTATCTGACTTCACTCCCAGCCCCAAAACTAGGGATTTTAGATCCCATTTTAGGAAGGGGAAACTGAGGCCCAGAGAGGGGAAGTGGCTTATGCAGCCAATTAAAGTCCTGCCTACTGAGTGAGTGACAGATGCATTAGCCATAGGCACATGCCTAATAGAAGTAACAAGTTACACATCCTTCTATCACTGAGAACACTACCATGGGCCCAGTACCATCCAAATTTGATAGGGCTCCTAGGTCTCCCCACTCCTGATCTTTCTCCAGGGGTTATTTAGAGTTTGGGTCCCCTTTTGTGGCTCTGACCCTCACTTTGTACCTTGGAGTCCCAGAGCCCATAAAATTGCTGTCTCCCAGATGTTTTGACTACAGAGAAGTGAGTCATTGGCTGCATCAGGGTGTCTCAAGGGCTGATGTTGGGGTGAGGGGGGGGAGTGAGAGTTTGGCCCTTCATCGCCTCCCAAAACCCAGCATTGTCAGATAGAAGGACATGACCTGGCCTAGTGCTGGTGATGACAAATTTGTGCTGCCCCTCTCTGCTCACTGAGGGGCAGGAGAAAGGGTAGGAGAAGGTAGCTTTTGACTTTCTTAGTGGATGAGCCTAGAGGCTGAATGGGCTTTGCTCAAGGATGGGCTGGGGTAGAAGTGGCTTGGGGCTCAAGTGCTATTCTGGGCACAGCTGCTGCAGTTATTAAAGGGAATGATTCTCCCTGGAGCAGGGCTGGGAATGTGAGAACCAGGAAGCTGGCAGGGCTGGGAAAGAAAATCCGGGAGACTCCCCAGTGGTCATGAGGGGCGGGCACTGGCTGGCTGGTGTGGCTGCTACTCTTGGCTCTGTCTGTCACTGACTTGCTGTTTGACCTCAGGCAGGCAGCTCTCCCCCAACCCCAGCCTTCTTACCTCAATGTGTCTGTTATTTGAGGAGGCTCAGAGGAGGCTCTGGTACACAGTGGGTGCTCTGGTAAATGCATGATAAATCTTGATGTCAGGAACCCCAGATCTTTTTATAGATGGGCAGAGGGGGTCTGAGGGAATCAAGATTTGACTCATGTCTGACTGCCCTATCTTTCCTTCATAATGAATATCTGGGGGGACTATTTGCACTGAGGTTTTTCTGTGTATACTCTGGACTGGATGCTCAGTGACCTGGGGCTAGGCCTGCCCTGAGACTTATGTCCTCTGATCCTCAGGTTGTGAAATGGACTGGGTTGAATATGATACTCCCTGAAACAGCTCATAACTCCTTCACTTTCTCAATGAAGTCATAGGTCCTTAGAAAAGGGGGGTGAAGGAAGGTTCATCAAGGCCTCAATCTTCTCTTCCTTTAGGAAGGGCCAAACTTTCTGGATTTTTGGTAACTGAGTCACTAACTTCTTCCTATGGCTACAGATAGGTTGGGATATGTGGCTTGTGCTGGGCAGGTACTAGTTGAGAAGACCCAACCTTTCATTATCCCCACAGACCTCCCACCAGGGAAGCCAGCACCCAGGGAGCATTTCCTGAAGGAGCCCACTGTGGGTCTATAAATGTGGAAATACTCTCAGGATATGGAGTTTAGGGAATTCTTTGGCAAGTGTGAAAACACTCCCAGGGAATGGGAGAGGTAGCCACAAGCACATAGATATCCCAGGTGGGTTAACAGTAAGAGTAGAGTGCCTTCAGGGAATGGAAGTGTGGACATGCTCCTAGACAGTTCTATAGGAATTGTGGAATCATCCTTCAAGGAAGGTGACAAGTGGTTCTTCAGGGGACAGATGTGGAGGGTCAAGCTTTAGGGACATCCAGGGGGCCCCTGGAGCCCAGGTCTAGTCCTGAGGTAGGCTGAGGTGGAGTGAAGAGCAGATCTATAGCCACCTCCTTAGTGTCTGCATTCCTGAAGCAGGGGGTCTCCTTCCTTATCTTCATCCAGGGACTAAGGCCCTGAATCCTGGTCTAACCCTCAGCATTTATCTTTAAGGGCTTCTGGGATGTGATAGCTCCCTCCCTCCCCATTACCTCCCACTGACCTGTTGTCTCCCTGGGGCCAAGCAACCTGATCTTCTTCTTCCTAGCCAGAGATGCTGCCCTTGAACAGGGGCTTGGGAATAGGGGGTGAAAAGGGGGAGGGCCTCTGGGAATAGGATCTTCTAAGCTCATTTCACAGACAGAACTGAGGTCTGTGCAATCACACAGTAGCGGTTCTGTGGGAATTTTGCTAGCCAGCACTTTTCAAGCCACATAGGCTCCAGTAGTGGTTTTTTTTTTTTTTAATTGATTTTAGAGAGAAGAAGGGAGACAGAGAGATAGAAACATGGAGGAGAGAGAACATCAACTGGCCTCCTCTTGCAAGGCCCCCACTGGGGATCGGGCCCACAACCTGAGCATGTGTCCTGACCAGGAATTGAACTGACGACCTCTTGGTGCATAGGTTGATGTTCAACCACTGAGCCACACCAGCCAGACTCCAGTGGTGGTTCTTAATCTCTGGGCTCAAGTAGTGCTGTCTGGGAAATCATGATGAAAACCAAGGTCCTACTTCCCAGAAAAATATACATGGACCATGGCCCTTGGCCATTAAGTTAAAAATGCATAATTCAGACAAGATACCCAACGAAGGCAATGGAATATAGTGATTATGTGTCCTGCCTCTGGTATCTGACTGCATGGGTTCAAATCCTACCTCTTTGTCCTTATGAGCTGTGAAACTTTAGGGAAGTTACTTTATTTCTCTGAGCCTCAGTTTCTTCACTTTTAAAAGAGGGATAATAATTATACCCACTTCCTAGAGTTGTGAGGATTACATGAGATAATATAGGTAAAATACTTAGTATAGTATCTGGCACATGAATGTTAGCAATATTGTGATGATGATAAATAATCACAACTTTGGACAATTTCTTCCTCGCTTAGAGAACTTCTATTTTACCCATCAAGATCCAGCTTGGATGTCCAATCCTCTGAAGAACCTTCCTTGACAGAGTCTGGTCATATATAGTATTATTTCCATGTCCCTAGAGTATCCAATAATATTAATAATAACTAGCTGATTAATTTATTGAATGCTTACCCTGCCCAGGTACTGTTCTAAGCTCTTTGTAGTTGGCTCATTTAATTCTTATTAGAGCCTAGAGGAGCCTAGAGGAGGATACTATTATTAGCCCATTTAATTCTTATAAGGGTCCAGAGCTTTCATTGCTATTTGACAGATGAGAAAACTAAAGCACAGATAATTTAACTTCCTAAAGTCACACAGAAAATAGAAAAACCTGAAAGCAGGCTGACCCACCACAAAGCACACACACCGCAAATCTCCACACCTCCGTTGTACTCTGGTCTGGGGACTGGGGGTTGGGTATCCCCAGCCTGGAGTGGGGGTAGACTTCAGTCAGTGGTGGCTCTGACTCCTCTCTACGCCTGCCAGGTTTTTGCACTGCTATAGAGCGCCCCCCTGAGGCCGCTTCACTTCCCCACCATGTTCCAGCGCCTCACCAGCCTCTTCTTCAGCACTCCCTCGCCCCCCGAGGACCTCGACTGCCCCCGAGCCTTCGTCTCTGAGGAGGATGAAGTGGATGGCTGGCTTATCATTGACCTGCCGGGTGAGGCCTAGGTTGGGGGCCAGGACTCTGACTGACTCCCGGGCCTGTAAAAGTCAGGTGGCCAAGCAGCAGAGGGGAAAGGAGCTGCTAAAGGATTGGGAAGTTCCCTCAGGACTACTGGACAAACTGGGGCTGAGGCAGTGACACTGGAGGTGGGGTAACAGGGTCCCTCCCATTCCTTGCAAGCCCAGGCCGTGTCCTGGCAGCAGAGTGTTGGGCCCACACCTCACGTACCCTAGCAAGACTCCTGGCCCTTGGATGCCCCTCGGGCGCGACGGGCAGGGCTGTGGGTCTGACTAACGATGCCCTTTCTCTCCCCGCCCCCTTGTGTCCGGTGTGTGTGTGTCCCTCCCCGCTGCGCCCCCACCCCCGCATGGCTCCCTCTCCCGCGCCCCGTAGACAGCTACGCGGCTCCACCCAGTCCCGGGGCCGCCTCTGCCCCTGCCGGCCGCCCTCCGCCCGCGCCCTCCTTGATGGACGAGAGCTGGTTTGTTACCCCTCCCGCCTGTTTTACTGCAGAGGGGCCCGGACTCGGGCCCGCCCGCCTCCAGAGCAGCCCCCTGGAGGACCTCCTCATCGAGCACCCCAGCATGTCCGTTTACGTCACCGGCAGCACCATAGTGCTGGAGCCTGGACCTCCTTCCCCGCACCCCGACGCGGACCTGCCTGACGGCGACCTCAGCGAAGGGTGAGCGGGCCGGGGCAGAGCGTGAAGTCGTAGAGGCGTATTTCCGAGGCCAGGGTCCGAGCCTGGAGGCTCGGGAGCGAGACCAGGTGCCCGCCCGGCACTGAGGGGGCGGGGCCTTTAGAGCAGTGTCTTTGAGGCATAGGGTCGAGCCTATGGGCCAGGGACCTGGCTGGGGCTTGCCTGAGGGTAAAGGGGCGGGGTTTTGATTTGGGAGAGGCGTGGCTAAGATTCTTGAGATGGGTTTAGGGGTCGGAGGGGCAAAGCCAGAACGTCCAGGCCGTGCGGCTTCTAGAGGCTTGTACGAAAGGCAAGAACCGAATTAGAGGTGGGGCTCGAGTCCCCCGTGGGGTCCGGTTTTTACCTGTCATAGGGGATAGAACCGAGGAAGTATCTCCAGGTTGGCTTGAAGAAAGGGCTGGTACCCTCAAGAAGAGCGTTGGGCGCCCCACTCTGCACAGAGACAGCACTGCGCCAGGGCGAGGGTGTGGGAACATGGTGGGAAGTGTCAGTGCTCCTCTTCGCTCCGCACTGCTCCGGCCCTGACCGAGCCCTGCTCTGTCTCCGCAGGGAGCTGGCGCCAGTCCGCCGTGAGCCCCGGGCCCTGCACCACGCAGCCGCCCCTCTGCCAGCGCGGGCTGCACTGCTGGAGAAGGCGGGCCAGGTGCGGCGGCTGCAGCGGGCCCGGCAGCGGGCGGAGCGCCATGCGCTAAGCGCCAAGGTGATGCAACGGCAGAACCGCGCCCGCGAGAGCCATCCGCGCCGGCCCAAGCACCAGGGCAGCTTTATCTACCAGCCGTGCCAGCGCCAGTTTAACTACTGAGCGTCTGCCAGCCGAACTACAAACCCCTTTCCGACCCTCGACCCCATGGGGCCCCTCCGCCGCAGCCAGTGTGTTGCTGGAGGGACGTCCGCAGCCCAACTGGGGCTGGATACCACAACCTCCCTCCTTAAGTGTGCGAGGTGGGGTGATAGCCCCCTTTTCAGTCCCCTTGATTTTCCCCTATCTGATTCTCTAATCTGCCTCTAGACCTCCTCCCACCCTTTACCCTCTTTCTTCTGGTCCCCATGCCCAACATCTAATCCTTCATCTCCTGTACCAACACTCCATCCTTCCATTTCTGGTTCCCATCCCCAACTCTGCCCTGACATTCCCATTCCCCTTCATCCTTGCTCTCCATTCCTCTACCTCTGGCCCACCCCTATTTCTCAGTGTCTCCTTTTCCAGTCCCATATCTAGCTCTTTCCTCACCTTCAACTCCCACTTTTACAAGCTTCACCCTATCTCATGTTTGGCCCTACACTCGCTCCTGCTCCTTTATTATTCATTCCCAGTAATTCCCTCCCATATGGATGGGGTCGGCAGGGGGCGCTGAGACTAAAGGTTTCTGTGTTTAGTCTCACCCTTCTCTCTCCTCTGGGGGCTGGGCTCCTTGTAGTTGCTTAGGCGTGGAAAGATAAAGTATGTGGAAGAGGACTGTGAGATGTGGATTAGAGGGGGAAGGTGGAGGGAATTGAGGGAAAGATGCAGCCTTTTGGAAGTGTAGACAGGACAGACAGGTTGAGAAGCTAGATGTAGGAAGCAGGGTACCATGGGAGCTGGTACTGTGTGCTTCCTCAGAGATTGGCCAAACTCTGCTCTTAGGTTGGAGCCTGGAGTCTGCCCCCACTTCCTTTTCCTATAGTCCCACCTCCCAAATCTCTTCCTGAAATCTACCCCTCTGCAGGCCGCTGAGTCTGAAAGGCTTAGTTAGTACCTTGCCACCCTACCCCCAATATGTCACCCCAGGAGTAGAGGCTGGGTAAATCCCTGCCATCCTGGCCATCTGTTCACACGTCCAAGGTGCTAGAACTAGCTTAGGAGAGATGCAGGCCAGAGGGCTTCTAAGCAGGAAAACGGCATACCCCAGTGTAAGAATGCAGAAGAATGATGCTGGGGAGGACAAGCTGTGGGGTGAAGCCATCCCAAGACTGACAGCTCAGCTTTCATCTTGCCTCTGACTTTATATTTCAGACCCTGCCCAGGATGGCTAATAAACACTCCTGGGCAGGAGGCCAGAAGCTTCACTGTCCCAATCCCCAAATAGTATCTCTCCAGGTTCAGGGCGGTCAGGGCCACTCTCCATTTTCTCCCTGAGTACTCTCTTCCTTTCTAGGCTGCTGGGAGAAATGGGTGCCCTATGGTTCCCCTCCTCTTCTCCTCTGCTAAATATCTGGAGGAGGGAACCAAATCCCTGGATGAAACAGAGAGAACAGGGGCAGCCAGATTTCCCCTTTTCATGGTGGTACTGAATTTTGGGCTCAGACACCAGCAACAGCCCCTTGGGATGCCCTGAGTTACTCCCCTTTTTCTCTTTCTAACTGTCCTTTACTAATGCGTGCTTTCTTCCTTGAAACTTTTGAGATTCCCTGTTACAAACTAACATAGGTCTTCCCCCCACCCCAATTTCTAGGTTTCCAGATTCAGTCAAGTGGAGAATTGGAGATAACTGCATTCCCATGAAGGCAAAGGCAGCTGCCCTTCCTGACCCTGTAGCTCCAAGCCTCACGTGGGATGTGTGAATATGGGAGGGGGTAGCCCCATGGATGCTGGGATGGGGACAGAGGAAGCCCTTTTAGGATCTCCTATCCAAGCAAGCCAGCCAAATCTACACTAAAAACAGATCAAAGTCTTCACGCCAGTCCACTAGGGCCCCAGTAGTTGGCAACCTTGCTCCTGTCCCCAAGGTTCTCCTTCAGTTATGACATAGTTACTTTTTTGCCCTCACCTACCCCTTGGTCACTTCACAGTCAGCTTAGGGTCTTCAGAACTTTCAAGAGCTGAAACTCTTCTCGCCTATTCCTTTGCTGCCAGCTAGGGCCTAGACTCAGTCCTGGGCAGTTTCCATGATCCTTCTGGTGGGGGAAGAGTGAGTAATAGGGCATTAGGTTCAAATTCCAAAAGGCCTCTCCCTCACCCATATTTCTGGAGCTCCTGTAGTTCTAGAACCTTCCAATCTCATCACCTGGCTGATTGCAAGGCTCATAGGTTTTTGTACTTTCCTATAGATTCTGTAGCATTTGAGTGTGGCAATATTTTAATTGTGTATAGATTTCTAAGAAACAACACTACTCAGTCTCCTGCTAGTCTGACTCCTGAAGCATCAGACCTCGTCATACTGTATTGACTGTGTATGTGCCTTTCACCTTGAGCATGCTTCAGGATTTTTTTTAAACCACAGAACTTGAATATATGAGGGAACCAGAATTCACAAAGTCCTATGCAACCTTAGACAGGTGGGGGGGGGAGGGGTTAGAGAGTCTGTCTTGACTGATGTTTTCAGAGAACCTGGAGAAGTTTGTTCCAGTTTGTATTAATTAATGTCAATACTACCAGCACTTTGCCAAAACTGAGTTTGTCAGAGGGACCTGTGTCTAGAGTGAGTCCCAATTACATCAAAGGGCGACTTACAGTAATTCCCCGATATGTCTGAGTGCTCTCTTAAAGCTGGGTGTCACTTTCCAGCCTTTGCCAGTCTGGCCCCAGCAGGGTATCACATGTGTATGAATGCAGTTTGCTGCTGTTTTGAAGTATGCCTGCTCCCCAGCTCCTGCCTGTACCCTGGTCAATTTGCTTTAACCCATAATATCTTAGGTGCAATAAGGACCCCACCAGAGCTCTTGGATGCCTCCTCAGATCCATGTGGCTTTATGTGAGGGGACCGAATGCAGATACACTATACTCCTTTGTATCTTCCCACCTATCCTACCACCTAGTTCCAAATGGAACCAAGTTGAGTGTATCCCTCTTGGGTGTTTTGTGTTGAGACTGGCTGAAATGAGGAGACTCTGGTTGACCACATTGTGACATGTCAACAGACTCAAGGACACAACCACCTCAACACAGTCACATGGCATGCCTGTGTACGTGTGTAACAGGATTCTGATTGTTAGGTTGTAATGTTATTCCTCTGTGGGAGAAAAAAATATAAAGAAAAACAAATAAAAATCTATTTAAAGCACATTATGTTTTCTGCCTGAATAGAGGTAAAGTAGGAGAAGCACTTAGTAATCTCAAGCACAGTACTGGCAGAGGGTATTATTATTAGGCTGGCTTTGGTTCTCAATGTGTGTGTTATAAGAGAAGAAAGAAGGTAGATAAGCTTGCTTGGAACAAAGTCAGATAGTGTGGGGTCTGACTCATAAATAACTACTTTTAGAGGATTCTTATAATGTAAGACATATATAGTAAGACAGTTGAAATAGAGATGAGAACAAGCATGACAGAGAATCACCAACTCATACTTTTTTTTTTATCCTCACCTGAGGACATTTTCCCATTTTTTGTTCAGATAGAGTGGGAGGGAGGGAGAGGAAGAGAGAGAGAGAGAGAAAGAGAGAGAGAGAGAGAGAGAGAGAAACATCGATGTGAAAGGGACACATCGAGTGGCTGCCACCCACATGACCAACCAGGGCCGGGGACAAACCGCAACCAAAACACGCCCTTAGTGGGAACCAAACCCGGGCCTCTCTGGACCGCAGGCCGACACTCCAACCGCTGAGCCAAACTGGCCAGGGCCCAACTCATCCTTTTCATCTCAGGCATTGAGTTATGGCAATGGCAAGGAACGGTTGCAGGGGTAAAGATGGAGTATATGTCTTGCTGTAAGAGACATAGCAGAAGGCCAAGACCCAGACCAAGACAAGGATAGGGCCCCAAGCACCTGAGTCCCCTGAAGGTAGGTAGGGGGTAGGATGGGAGCAGAGGCAGCTGGTTTGTAGACTACACACTTTTTAGGTAAGAATTGAGCCAGAAAAGGGAAAAAACCTGGGAATATTGATGAAAGTCACCCCCTAAGCCTGATGCAGATGAGCTTCAGGGCAGCCAAACAGTGGAATGTAGTGGACATCTTTGAAGTAATTAATACATCATAACTGTTTTTATTTGGGAATGGCCCCATCTAACCACAGAACTGGACTGAAGGTGGAAAGCTGACCTAAATTGGGCTGGTGTTACAAAGAATCTTGCTGGTCAGGCTGGGCTTATCTCTTGAATGGAAGAGGTAAAAACACAGTTGTTTTGGAGCAATCTATCATGTACCTGGAGAAGCAGTTGTATGAGGTAGAGAAAAAGTGCTATCTGGGTTGCTGATGACTTCCTGTCCCAAGAAAATCCTGGATGGCCTTTGATCCTCTCTAAATTGATTGTTAGTTGCAATCAAAATAAATTTGACCAACATACAAAATGCCCAGTACAGTATTGCAAAGGGCTAGTTTCTTTAAAGCCAAGAATGAGTTGAGTGAGCAAGAATATGCATTTTCCTCAACTTGCCAGGTACATCTCAGGTGCGATTAGGACAAGATGGGATTCTAAATTACAAAGAAGGCTGTTCCTATTCATTTATGATTCAAAGAAAAGAGCTTGCTCACCCAATAACCCTCTGTCAATAACATACGTTTATGTTCTAGGACAATGACATTTATTTAACACATTCAGTATTTCACATTGTACAAATCCTTAGATTCTTTTTATTCACTGGTCCATTTCTACAACAAATACATCCAAAACACTATATAATAAAATTATTTACAACATTTCCAAATGAGAAAATTCCTTTACCCTCACTACTGCTACTCACACAGTACTTCCACAGCACAATACATCATTAGATCTAAAAATGTTCACCCTGTACTCTAGGCTGCTTAGGAAATATGAAAACTAGTAACATAATCGCATTAGCTCCTCTCAATACATGGCAACATTTTAGAAACCTTGAACTTCATCAACACCAAAAGGGTACAACAACTCTGCTTTCCTCATTGCACTTTATGAAACAGGTTGCAGGGACTAGGAAAAGGGCCACATTATTAAAATGACTAGCTGTACAGATATGGGTTTAAAAAGTCACAGCTCAAAATTGTTTTTTGTTTTTGTTTTTTGTAAAATTCACACACATTTACAACTATCAAGTCGCTGTCCATCTTGTTTACTTGGATTTTCTTCGCTTGGATTGCACCACACTGGTTATGTCTGTGGAGGGAAAGGAAGGACATGTTCAGCTGAGGCAATTCTTTATAGCAGTGCCTTTTAGGCAAAGAACACAGGCTGACATAAGTGGAATCCTATTGGCTCTGAATCAGTCTAAGGGACTCAGAAGGAGCACTCAGTGTGAAGAGGGTCTCAAACTTCTGTACTGGCCCTGTGTTCTAGAGGCTGGTAATTGGGAAAATGTGATACAGGTGGTGGGAAATGAAGCACACATACCTGGCTGAAAAAAGGGGCAGGATGGGGAGAGCTTCTTTAGCTAGGCAATAAACCCACAATCTCCATCACCAGTTCCTATCAGCCAAAGAAATGATGGACAGACTGACAATGCTTCTGATGAGAAATCAATGAATGATGCTACAAGCAAATGAGTCAACTGTGCCAGAGTGCAAAAACAAGCCTCTCGATCCCTTTTGGAGCCAAGCCATTGTTCTGCAGCAAGGAACTCTTTTTGCCATGCTATAGTCAAAGTTTCTAAATAACATGACCATAACCCTTGGTCGACAAATGTCTACTGTGGCCTAGCCTGGTATATCATGCCTGTGGATACATACAGGCATATAAGCAATTCAGAGCAAGCCACAACCTGCTCTGTGAGCCTAGGTGAGCCTGAGGACTTCAAGGAAGAAAGAGGTGCACAAACTGAGTGATTTACAATTAGGGCAACAGTGACATAAAGAGGAATGCATGTGTTTTAATTTCTTTTGTGTTATCATAGTGTCTTAAAATTCACTATCTCGTATTTAAACTGTTTCTAAAAAACTTTTCCACACAAATTTCTTACAGGAGAGTACAATAAATAGTTTGAAGCTCTCCAAATGTAAACATTTAAAATCTCATATTGATCTTAAAAATTCACCCTAATTCTTTATGCTGCTCCATAGTAGATATTTTGGTTGTAATATGAAAACAATATTTTTAAATTACTTCCTATCAAGAAGAAAAAAAAAATTCTTCTCTAACATGTTAATGTATAAAATGAATCAGATTTATCCATCTCTGAAAACTAGGCTGAATTTTCTGATGTTGTATGTTAGATTCAGTGTTCTAAGCAACTTTTCTTCTCTTTTGTATCATAATATTTTGAGAACGCAGACTCAAAAGGTAGGTGCAAAAAGCAAAAATTTTACTGTTTTGTTAGCTAAAGTAATTGCTAAGAAGTGAGACTTTGAAGACTTTTTGTTGTTGTTGTTCAGATAGAGCGGGAGGGAGGGAGAGAGAGAGAGAGAGAGAGGAACATCGATGTGAAAGGGACACATTGAGTGGCTGCCACCTGCACGACCAACCAGGGCCGGGGACAAACTGCAGCCGAGGTACATGCCCTTAGCGGGAACCGAACCCGGGTCTCTCTGGACTGCAGGCCGACACTATAACCGCTGAGCCAAACCGGCCAGGGCTGAGACTTTGAAGACTTTTCAAGAGGTGATTTGTGCAATGTAATTTTAGGGCCTCTGTTGTTGGAAATTTCAATACGTTACATACTGAAATTGAATATTTTCTTGCTGGGAGGTCACGTTGCTTGTGCCATGGGGTAGAACCAGTCTCCCTGATTTCTCATTAGTTTTTTTGCTAATCAGAGGACAGTTAATCTGACAGGATGTTAATAATGGTGTTCATTTTAATTAAGTTAATGTAAATTAAGAATCTCA